GCTATTATTTCTTTGAGAAAAAAGAAAGAAATATTTAAATGAACTGAAACTGAAATAAACCTTATTGATACTCTCTAAATCTTTTAAAGTTAGGGCTTTTAAAGACTGGGCATGTATTTGAAATACTTTTATTTGAGAGACAGTATTTATAAGACTATTGTATTTTATATTTCAAATACTAAAATTGATATATAATAAATCTTATTATTTGAATTACAAAATACAAAAAACTTGTAATCTTTCGATTTTAAATACAAAATACGTAATTCTTTCATGTGCTGAAATATAAAATACACTTGTATTGTAAATACTGTGTTTTAAATAAAAGTATTTGAAATACATGCGCTCTATTTAGAGTGAATCTCATTTTGTAAGGTGAAATCTCACTTTCAAAGTGAACTTTGAAAATTGAACCATTCTTTTCCAAGACTCAATTTTCATTCTTTAGAATGAGATTCCACTCCAAAGAATTTAAAGAGTATTCACTCCGAAATTTCCTTAACTGATATTAGCAAGTATACTTTAAATAAATATTTGTCTGCTGAAACTCTATATCCTTGTATCATTGTTAGCACGTTCTTCATCCTTTATTGTGGCGAGTTACGCTCAGTAAATTTCATATTTGTAATATTAAGTGGTTACAATTTATACATCCATTTCAGAAGATTCTCTCAATGTCCAACCAAGTAATGTTCGAAAATTCCACTTTAGATCTTGCAATCCAGGAATAACTGTTTACAGAGCAAAAAAGATGTGTGAGTGATTTGAAGATTATTATTGCATTTATTGCTGATGAAGACTCCAAAGTCGAATATTATTTCTTAATACTCATTTGACTTTGTAAAATTATTTTTACAAAGGCAGTCTGATTATTGCATCATACTCATTGATCTATTGTTTTTAAGTCAACGTATTTTTTAAATTAAAAGTAAAATTAATGTAAAATTAAACAACTTATTTTAATTTTAGAGGTCAAAATTCAAGGAATGATATTATATAACTTAAAATTATGTAATTATGTGAAAAATATTTGTTATAAACAATTTTTCAAGATGTCATTGAAAAAAATGCTCATGTCCGCTGGATTCACGAATATGTAAGGGAGTTTTTGAGCGATTAGAATTAATTCAATCCCAGTTTATTTAAATATTTTTCATTTTTTTAAATAATAGCTTCTCTCACATATTTTAAGTTTTATAAAACGATACATTTCTAAATTAGAGGCGACGGAATAACTTTGTTAAGGGTGAAGTTAAAATGGAAAAAATTAAATTGAATGTTACATCGATTTAAATTGGAGATGATAGTTTTTTTAGGGGGGGGACAGGAAGACCTGTAGAGACAGGAAAATTAACGATACTTTATGGATTTTTAAAAAGAAAACAATACACGTAAATGAAATTTGGTTTTATTTATACAAAAATACATATTTTAATGTATGTAAAAAAAAATGAGCCCGATATTTTCATTTTATGCCTTTTAGAACTGATGCTAATAGGCCTTAAAAAAAGAGGGATGAGCTGGTTGACATGATTCCTGCAAACAGTTCATCAGAAATAAAAAAATCAAAATTATTCTTAAAGTATGGATTACTCATTTCTGTCTCATCGTAAAGAATTTTAAATTTTCCAAAATTACAAAAGCTTGAACTTTTTAAAATAAAGTCACATTTTGACCCTTTTTTATTCTATTTTTTAACATCTAAGAAATCCAATTTTGAATTTAATAAAAACTACGATGAGACGATAGGCGTTTATTTTACACGTATTTTGAATTTTTTTTGAACCTCAAAAGTGAGCAAGCAATTCAGCAAGCTCATTTTCTTGCTAAAATAAAATAAAAATGGATCGCAAATGTCTGACCGAGTTGCACCTAACGGAAAATTCCATATCTCTGACAATTTTTGGAAATTTTCAGAGGACATTCTTGAAATGTGTACGCATCTATTGAAATGAAAATTTAAAAATCGATTTTTTTGAAAATTCCGTAGTTCTTTAAATGTTTGGCTAAACAAACTTGGAGTTAAGGAAAATAATGAGTTTTTTTGACTGCTTCATATACGTATCTGATTTTACAAATGTTTTATACATTCTATTTACTGACGTATATGGATGTCGATTAATAATACTATGATGTCATTGGTTCATGTGTATTTTATATTATCATGGTTATATCTGAAGTTTAAGGTTAATCGCTCTTTGTATTGTACTCTCACGTTATGTCGTAAGATATAATCAGTCAAGCGACTTGCCGAGTTATATCATTATGACATTTTCCTTCCGAATTGCGTAAACGTCGACATGTTATCATAACGTCTAATTCTCAATAGATCCCCACTATCGCATTAAGGAAATTGTATGCCTAGGAAGTTGAGTCGCGGAACACCTACGGGTCAATATATGCGGATACTCGCTTCACAGTGCAATACAATTGTAAATCAGAAAATAGAGCAGGGATCCCAGGAAGTGACTTGTGATTCACGTTTAAATATCTGCCATGTCTGCTTCATTTGCAGGAGCCTCTTGCACTTAGAGTTTTATTTTTCTATAGATTCTGTAAATTTATATTACATATATTTGTTATCTATATTTCTACCAGATTACTGTATATTTGACGAGGGACAAATACATATCGCTGCGATAACAATTATTACAGTAAAATCTACTTTCCTAAATCAGCAAAGTAGAATAATTTTTCTGAGTTTTGTTCGTAGAAACATGTTAACTTGTTAAAGCAAACAAGTCTATCTCATCAGAAAATGCAATTTTATTATTATATGTAATTATCGTTGATAGTTAACGTAAAAATAAAAAATAAATATTAGAAAGAAGAAGATAGAATAAATTTGTTGTTGGAGCAAAGCAATTTGCAAATCTAACTCTTACGAAAAAATACATTCTTGGCGGTCCGAAACACTTAAATTGAGTATTAACTCCCAAATAAACCTCCAACTTGAGGATTAACACTCAATTTGATCATTTCGGACCGCCAAGAGTGTATTTTTTTCGTAAGGGAAGAAAGTTATTTCAGTGTTATTTTAGTTTTTTTAACAAATTTTTGGCGATAAAACAATTAATTTGTTGCAACAGTTAAATATTTACTGTTTCAACTAATTCCCTTTGATCTCATTATTGCTATTTGCAAAGCTGAAGGATGTCAGTGATCGGCGTGAACAATATTATAGAGTAAAAAAGTCGTCTGTTATAGGCTCCTAATATGAGATAGGGATTCCTGCTAAACTAATACGCGCATGTAGTTAGTTCCATTATGAACTTATTACTCTTAGGGTAAAATCTATTTAGTAGAAAATTTATTATTAGATCATGCGTGTAGTTGTTGCGAAAAAAGATTTGTGAAACTAAATGTTGTCTAATAATATATAATATCTGTGAATTTAAATGTTGTGAAATTAGAAGTTATCGAGATGAATCTTTAATCCTTGTTTATTATATAATAAATAAATATTCGGTAATAAATTCTACATGTAACGGTAGAGCAAGGTAAGAAATTAATAGAAAAATACGGGATATCATGATTTGCTTAAGTGTAAAAATCAGATTTAGTGATCGTGAAACTATAAGACGTGGAGCTCAAAATATAAGGTACTTAATTTCTAAAAATTATGAAATTTAAGTTTCATTAATTTTTTTCTGACTATTTTATTTTATAATAAGTATATAAGTTTGATATATTAATTGTAATTGATTCCTAGTCTTAAGATTATTGTGTTTTTAAATTACAAAATCATCGAAAAATTATACAATTAGTAGGTATAATTAAGATTGAAAGCTTTTCATTACTTTTTCCTTGGTTTCCTATTATAAAATATCATCTTATATAAGGTAATTTATGTAAGAAGGATAAGAGGGGCAGGAGATCAAAGAATAGCAGAAGACCTCATGAAGAGAATAGAAAGAAGGGAGAAAGAAGAAAGACAAGTAAAGATAAATGAGTCAAGGTATAATGACAACTATAAGAACATATGGTCAGAAAGGTTACCAAGATATTTGGAAGGCAAAAAGAGGATGAAAGATACAAGTTTAGTAACAAGATTCATATGTGGGAACGAGACAAAAGAAGGTCAATACTGGAGAGAGGACGAAAAAAAGAGGTGCAGAATTTGCCATGCTGCAGAAAAGAATATGACCCATATACTCAAGGAGTGCGAGGAGACAAAGAGTGAGATGCAGATGGAAGAATTCATAGGGGTAGAAGACAAAGGATTAGAGACAATGAAAAGGATAGATAAGGCAAGAAAGGAAGCAGAAGAGAGGGAAAGAACAAACAAGAATGAGGACTTAGCCAAATGGCTACCATCAATCAGATTAGAAAGCAATTACGGCCAAAGTACAGTTTCCGGAGTAGTTCCAAGCAATGTTATTCGTTTTATTATCGATGTCATAGTTATACTGATAGTTATATTGAGATTTGTTTCAGAGCAGTATTTTTATTTTTATTTTTATATACAATCATAAAGTGCCAAAAGATACAAGCAGTTATAGATATGTATTGGATATGTAAGAAATGTTAGATATGTGCGGTATGTTTTGCTTATTTTTTTTTATGAATAGCGAGATATAATTTATATATATATTATGTTATGTTATGTTATGTTATGATGGATATGTAGCAGAGCGAGATATGGATAGACAAAGTGTATTAAATTAACAAAACAAATATAAATCGGAAGCCATCTAAGCCGCCAGGCAAGGATTAAGAATAAATAAATAAATAATAATAATAATAAATAAGGTAACTTGTGTCTGATATTAAAAATGCTTTTTTTGAATTAATAAAATTGGCAATTTTGGTAAAAACCTTCAAAAACATACAACAAAGTATAACTATTATCGATTGCTAACTTTTGGTGATAAAACTTGATTACATTTCCCATAACTTTGACATAAAAATAGGAGTTAAGATTAAAAGTTAAATAAATTACAAGCCTTAAAAAAAAAGGTATTTCATATTAGGCACCTTTACTCTATTCTTCCTTACAGCCCGAAAATGATGAGCTCGACGCTGATGATCCTCGTATCCGTGACGACCATGGCAGTCCTTTCCGGCGAAGCTCTCACTGGATCGCCCGGTATTCCGTGCAACCCAGGATTTCTTGACGAGCTTCCGCCCAGACTCCGTAAAATCTGCATGGCCTTTGCCAGAATATGGGACGTTAGGGACATGAATGACTTCATCGATGACAGAGGTAATCGCCTGTATAAGGCCAATATGTGTCCGTTTTTTTGTCGAGAAGCTTTTCGAGCCCGTTGATTGGCTACAGGACAAAGAGGTTCTTGGATCTCTTGTTCTTTCTGCAGCCAATGGGTGATATTTTATTTGTACGTTTTTGTCGTACGACAAATTTTTCAAGCCTGTTGATTGGCTATAGAATAGAGAAATCCGAGGACTCTGTCCTGCATACATTTATCGTACGGCAAAAATGCACAAATGAAATATCACCCTTACCGAGTCATTCGCTCTATTGCCACACGCCATTCGAGACGAATGATCCCTTAATCTATTTAATGAAAGGCAAATGTCGTGCGATTGCGAACGAACAACATGTGCCTCTTCCTATTCTTTTTCCTATTACTAATTAATTTATATTATCGCTACTCGAAAACTTTATCAATGTACAGGCGTGCAAACGTTTCCGGCCAGTGATATTTTACTCTAATTTAGAGTACTCTAATTTATAATAAAAGGTCTGAGATAAAATTTTAATCATTATCAGGTGTTAATACAAGATGTGGGTAACGAAATAATGAAGTAAAAGTATATTATTTATGTTCATGAAAATATTTATTATTATAATTGTCATATTTACATGTGCAAAAGTTTCCTACTTTGTACTATGAGAAAAATTATTAGTCCATACATTCTATAATGTGCACTTTAGTTAGTTTAAATTATATTTCGATATCAATATTTTGTGGGCATAATCTTTGCAGCGACAACAGCGGCATAACGATGTGACATCGATTCAATTAGTCGATTAATGCAAGCAGGTGAAATTTTATTCCATTCCTCTTTCAAAGATTTCAATAATGCGACTTTATTTGAATGTGTATGCTTTCGAATTTGACGATCTAGCTATTCCTATAAGTGTTCTATCGGATTCAAATCCGGTGATTAAGATAGCCAGCTTAAAAATTTTACATTTGTATTAGAAAATTAGTTCTTTAACAACTTAGATTTGTTTGGGGTCATTATCTTGCTAAAGTATTCAATTCTGTGGCACTGTTTTTTCAGCATATGTTAACAAATGTTGTTCTAAAATGTCCTTATAAATAGTAGCGTTTATAGACCTGTTGATGTCTACAAGTGGACCGACTCCTTCTGCAGAGAAAACTCCCCAAACCATCACACTTCCTCCATTGCATTTTACAGTAGGAATTTAATATCGAACATCATTTCTGGTATCAATAGGACGTCGTACATGCTGTCTACCATCGCTTCCGAAAAGATTAAATTTAGATTCGTCTGAGAAAGCTACTCTTTTCCAATCTTCAACTGTCCAATTTTGAGGCTTGTTCTTTTTAGCTGAATTTCTTGCACGGTTCATCTTTTCTCTTTTTCTCTCCAACGTAAAGAGAAAAGAAAAAAAAATGAACCGTGCAAGAACTTTAGCTAAAAAAAACAGACCTTTGGTGATCTTTGGCAAAATGTAATCGAGCCTTCTTATTCTTTTTACTGATTAATGGCTTTTTAATACCTATACGGTCAAAAAGTTCTACATCATGCAGCATTCGTGTCACAGTACGGCTAACATCAGCAAAGTTTCCATCCTGTAACTCGCGTGAAATTTCAGCAGCAGTTTTCTTGACATCCGCAGTTGATTTGCGTTTAATGACACGATCTACCTTTTTAAATGTTTTTTGTGGCCTTCCACTACGCGAACAATCTTTTAATCAAGCACGATATTTAGCAATAATATCATTTATAGTTGATTCACTTATTGATAGCTATGAAGCAATCTCACGAGAAGACTTTCCGTCCTTGAAAACTTAATTACTTTCTCGCGAATTTGGACTTGCGTATGTCGAACCACGCTTCGATGACTTCCTATGAACTAAGCATAACTAATAAACGCGATACTATATGTAAATAAATCATTAGAGTCCTACTATGGATTAAATATATTAAGTGGCCGGAAACTTTTGCACATGTAAATATGACAATTATAATAATAAATATTTTCATAAATACAAACAATATCCTTTTACTATATTATTTCGTAACATCTTATACTAACAATTAACAATAATTAAAATTTTATCAGGCTTTTTTTATAAATTAAGGTACAAAATATCACTGACCAGGAACTTTTGCACGTCACTGTATATCAGTTTTAAATGCTGCGCCTGAACACATTATCCAAGGAGGTAATGTAATCGTGCAACAGTGTGAAATCATTACGAAATCTCCATGTAGTCATTTTACAAATGTAATCATGAAGTAAAAAATCTTTCATGTAGAATAATCAGAAATTATAATGAAGTCATATGTAATCAGTAGAAATTATTTCGAATTTCCGTGCAATTACTGGAAATCACGTGTAATCACCATGAAGTCTGTAATGAAATCGTGTATGATTATCATAAAATTTAAATCTGAAATCAGTATATAAATAATTCTAACAATAAGTTAACAAAACTAGAGATCCTCAAGAGATGAAATATCATCAGTTACTGAATGGATATTCAGTATATTGAAACACTTTTTCTTAAGGTATAAATAATTTTCCTCATTACACATATGAAGTTATTTGAAGGTAAAATAAATGATTTCATCTGGTTATACAACGATTTCTCGTGATTGGATGTGTAATTATCGGATTTTTAATAATTATAAATGTTTTTATTTGATATTAAACGACATAACCGTTTAATATATAATTGTCGGACAATAAGGGTAATTAGAGGAAATCATTTACAATCAGATGAAATTGTATGAAATCAAATGAAATCGTGTAATCTGTGGGACATTTCAACTCGTGGTTACCCTCTCGACGCTACCCCTTGTACTTCATCCTAGAAAGGCGATGGGGATAATTATGCGCGGTTCGCGTTTGAATTGCTTTCAGAATATCGGGAGAACTTACCGCGGTACGACAGCGCTGTCAAGAGGCAAGACGTCGATCATGTTTTCTTGCGCTTTGGAAAACGACGTTAGAACCAGGCATCACACTCTGCTCTCTATTCGCAAGCGATAAACGATTTGAATTATCCTTAAGTTTCTCATTCGATCATCCCGTCGTCGAGAGAACTCAACGCGTCTACTGAAAATGTAAAAAAAAAAGAAAAAAATACACGGAAAAGAGCAAGAGAACCTGTAACAACCCGCCGAAAGATGATCTCGTTAACATCGTTAATGATCTAATAATTTTCATTTTTATTTTTGCTGTATATAAACAGCATTTAAGAGACCAAATTGATCCTCTCGAGCAATCCCTTTGAGTCATCCTTGCGTGAAAGTAAGTATATATCTTGTTAAATATGGATTTTATGCGCGTTAAAGCAATTAGTTTTACTCTCTTTGTTCGACAAAGGCGAAAAGTTTAAAGGGACTTTAATTAACATATATTATATTACAGCACATTTATTATCATCTAATATTCTGCTAGCGGAACAAAAATTTCATATTATAATTTTGTTACAAGATAATTTTGATAATATAAATAATTTTTCTCTGAGCATTTTAATATCCCGACATGTTGGAGCACTGAAAACATAATCATGTAACGCTCGAGAAAGACTAATTAGATAGTTACAAAAATAAAAACGAATTTCGTGATATTTCATTCTCTTTGTTGATCATACATAATTTTACGAGTAACGCCAAATGTCAACTGCTAAGTACTAAATCCTCAAAAACTGAAGCTACCCTTAATTCTATATATTGCCACATCACAAATAAAGAGTGTATTGCAATGATGTACAACCATTTCAACCTATGCTGTATCACACTGTGAATGTACCGAATTTACTAATTACTCGTCTATTAATTAATCACTTAATTACTAATGCACTACCTTTAACTATTAGATTATAGGCCAGATTAACATCGTCACTTTACGAGTGTAAGTACGTAGGAACGTTGTGCCGTATCGATTTTCGCGCCGAATACTATTTCCAATTAATAACTCTCATCTTCACGTCGCTTGCAAGATGATGATCCTCCATGTGAAAGTAAAGAATGTTGTGCGTCTATGCGTGCCATTTATTTTATAAATCAAGCATTTTACGCCTTATAATGCGATCAATAAGTGACATGAACAATTAGTCCAAACGGGAGATTCAATTGAATTAAATTTGTTCCAATTAATTCCCGAAACATGTATTAGTAATATCTCAAAACCATGCATGCGCGCTCTCGTGTTTGTTATTTAATTTAATTTCGTTAATCCAAATGATTTCCTTGATTATATTTCGATGATTACCCGATAGCACAAAATATTTATGATAAATATTTATTAATATTCATTTTTTGAAACGTTACGTAGAATTTCATACATATTTTATATAAAGCTCTTTATTTGAAATATTAAAATATAGACTAAATATTATGTAATATTTATGATAAACATAAATAAATATTTCTAATAAGTACTTTTTACTTAGATTATGTCTCATTAAGTATTTTCTTAGCATTTACAATAAATATTTCATAATATTTATAATAAATATTTATAATCTGTGCAATTTAAAACCGCAAAAAATATAAGATATTTGTAAAATATTTAAAATAAATCTTATAAATATTTATAAACGTTTTGTAAATATTTTATAAATATTGTGTGCTGTCTGGGTATCTATAGAGCTATTTCATAAATTGGGGAGAACCCAGATCCAGAGGGTTATTTTTTTCTTGATAAGAAAACGTCGAAAGGAATTGCTACTGTATTTAGATTTTTTCGAATTTCTTTTAATACTTCATTGAATATATTATCAGTGTTAGGTGTAAAAATGCTATTAAAATAAATTATTCTTGAGCATTTCAAATGAATTTTTGTCGGTAGGATAACATCAAAAAGAAATTACCGCTACATTTGTAACTTTTCGAATTTCATTTTATTGAATATTTTGTTGAATATTATATTATTAAGAATCCCAAAGTTCTATTAAAATTATTCTTGAGGGACGAACAATCTTTTTGTAAATGACACTGAATGAATTCTTATTAGCGACTTATTATAGATCGACTCTGAGTTTGATAACGATTTACTTTCCAAATTTTTTGGAGTGGAATTTCATTCTAAAGAATGAAAATTGAGTCAGTCTTGAAAAAGAGTGGCTCAACTTATCTTTAGGAGTGAGATTTCACTTTTCAGACAATTCACTCTAAAAGTTTTAGAGAATAGATGTTCGCCTGTCGATGCGTCCGGGACAGTTTTGTTTATTCATTATGAAAAAGAACGAAGATACAAACGAATGTTGCACTGTAGCTGTTTCAACAAGTAAACCTTAAAATCAAATACTAGACAGCTAACGGAAATGTATATTCTGCATTATCTGTCCTTGCGTGTCGAGACGGCACGTTCAGTTCCGATCCTGATAATCAGTTGATCGCCATCGATCGCAAGATTATCTGACTATTTCCCAATTGTCTCGTCAACGTACGTGCCGGACCAAAGGTTCCTGTCCTTAGAGATCGCATTGTTTCCAACGTCTCTATGTCTTACGTCGTCGGATATATTCGCAGCTCGTTATGGATGTGTTAAGTATCACTCATGAAACGGATAAAACTGTAAGATATTGCTGATGTGACGCGTGCTAATACATTCATTGCGAAATAATAATATATTTATTATATATAACAGATAAATATGTATACGCATATAAAGTGATTCTCTCAGAATGCTTTGTCGTTTATTATACACTACGCAACTGCACCATCCTTCGTCCCTCACTTTTTTTTACATATTTTGTTCTTTTGTCTACGATATTATAAACCTATTGTGTATGGTATAAAATATTCCAAGCTTTCTAAATTACAATATCAAAGCGGTCGAGATTGCACGTGTCTCCATCAGAAAATCGTCTGCTTGCGCAATGCAATTGCTATATTTCACCTGGGTTAATTACGTAAACTTAAGACTGCAACTCTAAAGGAATCGATATGAATATGCAGTGGTGTTTTTGCGTGCAACTCGAATAACATTAAAAGTTTTTATCGATGTAATCTACGTCATAGAATGTCGCGTTATTTTGCTGAAAAAGAATTTGAGAAGAAACAAGAAAGAAGAAGGAAGAAGATGTCATGAGAGAGACTAACTCCTGAAAACCAAGTTCGATTTCCGGCGACAGGTGAATCTTGCGGAAATCGAGTTGTGAGAGGAAAGTACGAGAACGGTCGGAGCAGATCATGTCAACGAGAGGAGAATAGAGGTAGGCGACGAGTTATTAAGCGATGGCAGGTTTTTATATGGTATAATAAGAAAATAAAATATTTCATTCCCGAGGATGTGCAGTCGTCCAATATGGTGGCTGTTCTTCGGCCAATCAAAATATTGTATTTAAAAAAAGAAATGAAAAAAGAGAAAAAGTAACATAACTACTACTGGCTACTACCACATATATGTTTTAGATTGTACCCAGACAGCATAGAATATTTATGATAAATATTTATGATTATTCATTTTTTGAAATGTCATATAAATATTTTATATGTATTTTATATAAAGCTTTATTTAAAATATTATTAAAAAATAGACTAAATATTTAATGTAATATTTGATGATAAATATAAATAAATATTTCTATTAAGTATTTTTTATTTTAATTATAATGTCTTGTTAAGTATTTCCCTAGCATTTACTACAAGATTTACAATAAACATCTCGTAATGTTTATAATAAATGTTTATGATCTATGCAATCTAAGACCACAAAAATATTTACAAAATATTTAAAATAAGCCTTATAAATATTTATAAATAATTTCTAAATATTTTATAAATATTGTGTGCTGTTTGGGTAGGTGCATTAGAAGATTGTTTCGAGTGATTTAAGAGTGCGGGCACTGCGAACACGAAGCTTTTTTGAGTTTTCATTTAACCACAGCAGATAGAATTTCATTTTTGTTTGTATATTTGTTTGTATATTTTTATCAACACTGTATTTGAATTTAGCGCAAACTTTGGGACAAGCATTTGATTTGTTATTTTATTAGTCTGCCGCCATTAAGACGTACAATGAAATATTTTCTCAGCACACGATATTTATAAAACTTATTTTAAATGTTTTGTAAATATTTTGCGGTCTTAAATTAAATTACACAGATCATAAACATTTATTATAAATATTATGAAATATTTATTGTAAATGTTGCAGTAAACGCTATAAAAATACTTAATAAGACATTATAATCCAAATAAAAAATACTAGAAATATTTATTTTCATAAATATTCTGTGTTGTCTGGGTACATATTTTTATACCATGACTGACCATGAGTTATTGCAACATCTCGCACAAAAGGCGTCACGTTGCCACGTGATCGATTACGTTCAACAGAATAAGTCACTCTGTCACTTTGTACCCAGAGAATCGCTCCCGTTCTTCTTCTTCTTTTTCCCCCATTTTTTTCTTTATTCGTCTAATACGTTTACGCGCACGTCACGTAAGTGGTCTTGACTTGTAAAACGCAAGAAAATATTACTGCGTTTCTACCAGAGCTAATATTTTCTGAGGATTTATCTTGTGTAATGTTTTATTTTTGCTGCCCTTCCGTATATTGTCTCACCACATGTTTATTGCGGATATTTTAAATTTCCGCGTCTTGTGCAGGCGTCGCCGTCATTGATCTTATTTTCCGCAATCTTATAATACGGACGGACATCCCTGTCTGGCAATTTAAAGAACATTGCATATAACGTTACGAGGAATGCGTATTTTCCGCATTAAATTCACAAAAAATTAAAATAAGTTAAAAATTTATTTAGTTTTATTATCTTGGACTTATAACATTACAAAAACAATTCTTGCGAGCATTAAAGAAAACAAACAGCTGTAACATCTCCCTCTCTCGTTGAGCGCAAAAATATATTCCTCTTACGCGAGAGAATTCAATTAAGTTTACGAGAACTCAACGCCTGGATTAATACGATTAGATTAAACCCAGATAGTGGGTCGCAAATTGCGCGAAAACGGGGAAAAGTCAACATGGAATATATTTTGGCCTAAAAATGAGCCAAGGATCAAGGCAAAATATATTAAGTGAGAAAAAGCGTGATTAAATGGAGACAGAATGATATTACGCTTCAATTCGGTGCAAATATCTGTCAAATGTGAGAAAAGAGAATATTCTTAGAGGATAAGGTTGCCGAAATTGCGCTGGTTCCTAAATTGCACTACCTCACCTAGAAATTTAATTATTGTATTTATACACTTTCTCATGGATTATTTGATGAGAACTATATATGGTAATTACAATGCTGCTGCGTTATACTCGTGATGAAGCGTTGTAGGAATATCATTATTTACATAAATAAAAAAATCGTGATAACGTTGCTGTTTTTATATTTCATAGCAGAATTGCAGAAAATGTAAGTTAAATAGCCTATATTTTAATAATTTATCGTTTTTTTATTAGAATATTATATTAGAATTAATTAAAATTAAAATAAATAAAACATTAATAAAATTAAAAATTTTTTTTACGTTCTTATTTGTAGGTTAAATAAATAAAATTTTACAAAATGTTTTAGTTTCCTAAATTGCATCACAATGTACTCTTCTAAATCGCACGTTGCCTAACAGTCATACATTTCGTACATTTTCATTCCATTTATGATTAATTTTTAAAGTACAGATTTATTGTAAACTTGCAAGTGTTTTTGTTTCACATAAAAACTCCTTAAATTACCTCCTGAAATTTTACTTTTTAAAATACTAAAACCATATATTTCAAAAATTATGAAGAATTTTTAAATCTTTTCTCTTTCTTATATAATTTTTAAACATTTTTGCATTATTATAACGTTTTAAATGAGGAATTTCAATAAATCTGCAAATGATTTTAATGCGATTTTGGCAATTGTCCAAGAAACACACCAAGTCAAAAAAAAATGTAAATGACTTAATTTATTTTGATATTATTTATTTGACGCAAAGTTAAAATAATAATTTTTGGTTGCGAAGTTTGACTGTTTATTGACATTACGAATCAAAATAAAGCCATTTTGATTTTTTGTTGACTTTTATGTATTGGCCTATATAAATGGTACTATTTGCAGGCTTGTAAAAATCCTCATTTAAAATGTCAAATAATAATGCAAAAAAATTATGAAAAAATTATACGAAAAAGAAAAAAGAATGTAATTTATTATCTTGTAAAAAACTTAAGAACATTCTTTATTATCTCTAAATTTTAAGTCTTTATGTGAAAAGCAATGCGCGATTTCTGCAACTTTATCTTGTGCAATAGCAGCGCAGCTAAAAGAACATTTGAGTTTGAGAACTGACTAAAGCAACGGCACGAGCGGACTCTGAAGATTAATGTCCCACTAATGTCTTGTCTTAGCAATTACCCATGTGGCAATATTTGTTCTTCTCTCCTGCCGCCTATCTCATCGACCATTCTATATTCAAAGCAGCTTTTATCGCGAATATCATCGCGACGATTGCAGAATCCCGTTGTATCATTTCCTAATTTAATCCACATATACAGGGTGTTTCCAAATTAAATGGCAAAACTTCGGGAGCGTGTAGAGGAGTAAAAAACTAAGAAAAAAAGTCCTATAGACATATGCTCGTTTTTGCTCCGTTTCAGAGAAATCGAAAAAAAATGTTTACATTTCTTGCCATATCTAGCACCGACATATTTGATTACATTTTCCACTTTCTGTTATGAATTTGTCAGTCGCTCTTTGAAAGCCTTTAACAGTAGATGAATTTTGTCTTTTGCAATATGCCGCGTACGTATTCTAATAGTGAATATGCTGATATGGTTTTT